ACCCGCGCACGGCCCCCCCCTCGCCGCGGGGCAGGACCGGCGGGACCCCCGTGGGCTGCCCGGGGAGGCGACGGGGGCTTTGCCTCGGGGCGCACGGCTGGATTCCCCCTCCCACCGCTTTTTTAAATCTTTTTTCTTTTTTTAATTTTTTTTTTTTTGGCCGTCTGTGGCCGCGGGGGATTCTTGAAGCGTTTCAAACTGAAGTGCAAAAATCCCCCAGAGCTGTCGGCGAGCTGCAAAGGACACGCCGGTCCCTGCTCCGAAAAAGCCCCCGCGCAGGGGCCTGGGCACCCACGGCCGCCGCCGGCTCCGCCCGGGGGGCGCCCGGCGGGGGGACCGGCGGGTCCTGCCCCAGCGCTGTGTCACGCGTGGATTTTCCCTCTTCCATCACTGCGATGCAGTGCGGCCTGGGCCCTTTCCTCTCCTGGCCAGGCTTTCCCGTGTCCCTGGCCCCAGGAGACTGAGACTTTTTTAATTGCTTCTTTTACAATGTTTTTTTCTAAAAGTTTTTTTCCGTGGCTTGCTTGTCGCTTAACAAGCTATAAAACCAAACAAGCCAATTTTTAGCAGTTATTTTAATCTGCTTTCTAATTTCCCTTCTTATCTGCGTGCCTGCATGCTCAGCACTGCCCACCGATGCAAACTTTTTTTGCGGGGCGGCATCTGAGTGCGCTCTGCTTTCCAGGGCTCTGCAACAAGCCACGTTTTACCGCGCGGTGTATTCGGTCATGTCTGGCTGTACCAAACTTGCATCTTTCCTGCCTGTTTGGGCCAGCGATGTTCCCGCTGCGGTTTGAGACTCTCCAAGAGTTTGTGAAGAGAGGTCTGGGTGGGGGAGAGTTTTGAAAGAAATAATCCCATCGCTGTTGCCTTCGTGGTTTCTTTGTAAGCTCCAAACAAAGCTGGAAATGGGCAGTGTTGTTTGTTGCAGTGAGGGGATGGCATTTGGAGGACAAACATAAGAATAATATTTGGCAAAGGCATTTAAAATGGGGAAGGGGGATTTTGTTTTGCCCAGTTATTGGTATCCATAGTGGTCGGGTTTTTTTGCGCCTCTATAGTTGGTATTTTAATACAGTTTTGTGACATAGTTTAGCTCTTTTTTGCCACAGCAAATTCATTTTGTAATTAACTTTCTGGTTGCTCAAATCAGTGTATGGGAAGTGGGGGTGCGAGTCTGACAATAGGCTGAAAACTTCTAAGGAAAGACATTAATTTTGGATTTCTTTTTTCCCTCCTTCTTATTTAAAAAAAAAAATAAATCCATCCCAAACCAGTTTGTTAAGCGAAAATGAGAAACGTCCTTTTGTGGAAGAAGCTGAGCGGCTGAGGGTCCAGCACAAAAAGGATCACCCGGATTATAAATACCAGCCACGGAGGAGGAAAAGCGTAAAAGCCGGGCAGAGCGATTCCGACTCCGGAGCTGAGCTCAGCCACCACGCGGGCACGCAGATCTACAAAGCGGACAGCGGGCTAGGAGGCATGGCCGATTCCCACCATCACGGCGATCACACAGGTAAAGGGCTCCTGCGGGCAAAAAAATTCTGCAGGTCCTGGGCGCGTTGGTTTGGGACATGAACCCGCCGATGGGCATGGGCTCATCTGCTCCCCCGATGAATACAGGTGGGATTGGGGCTATCCAAAAGGAGGAGTCCTTGCCCCAAGAGCTGTGGTTTTGCATCAGGTTGTGAACGTGGCCACAGTTTTCCTTACTAAATGCTTATATAGCTGACTGTGTGATAGGAAATCCCCAAAGCGCAGGGATCCTGGTTTCCCAGATGGCTCAGGAGCGGGGAGAATTAATTGCAAGCTAATAAGGGTTAATAATCCACTGGCCATGCAAAGGGTGCCTGGGGGAGCAGGTCCTGGAGACGCGGCTTCCCCCCGAAGCTCCCCGCTTCTCAGCGGCGCTGCGAATTGGCACAAGGCGCGTGTTGACAGATTCCAGGAGGATTGCGAACGTCCTGCAGCTTCAGACGCGTCTGTGCTCTCACCCAGCCTGGCTGGGGATCCCGGCCCCGGCCCGCTCTGCTGGGACGGCTTCTCTGCCTTCAGGAGAGCTGGGCTGGCTTCGGGCTGCCCGCGGGGAGAGGCTGAGCGGGTCCTTCCAAATCCACCCCCTGGTTCTGCTTCCCAGGCGAGGGGGTGTTTGTACAGCTGGGGGTGTCCTGCCATGTCCCAGAGTGACCCTGATGGGCACAGCGCGCTCCCCGGCTTCTCCTCCCCACTGTGGACCATCACCCATGCGAGGGGTTTACCCCAGCTGAGGACATGGTCCCTGGCCTGGTCACAGGAGGATATCAGCTACCTCCAACATTGAACCATAGATTTAAATCCCCCTTCCCCTCTTGCAATAAGAAGGGGGAGAAACGTGCTTTTTTTTTTTTTTTTTTTTTTTTTTTTTTTTTTTTTTTTTTTTTTTTTTTTTTATCCTCCTTGAAGGAGTCTGTTATTTTGTTGGTGCTCTTGTTAAAGCCTTGCTGTTGCTTTATCCCCAGGCCAGACCCATGGGCCACCCACCCCACCCACCACCCCCAAAACCGACCTCCACCACGGCAGCAAGCAGGAGCTGAAGCACGAGGGCCGCCGCCTCGTGGAGAGTGGCCGGCAGAACATCGACTTCAGCAACGTGGACATCTCGGAACTGAGCAGCGAAGTCATCAACAACATGGAGACCTTCGACGTGCATGAGTTCGACCAGTACCTGCCGCTCAATGGCCACGCCGCCATGCCAGCCGACCACGGCCCCAATGCTGCTGCTGGCTCCTATGGCGCATCCTACTCACACTCGGCCACGGGCACCGGTGGGACCAACCAGGTCTGGACTCACAAAAGCCCGGCCTCGGCATCGCCGTCGTCCGCCGACTCAGGCCAGCAAAGGCCGCACATCAAAACGGAGCAGCTGAGCCCCAGCCACTACAGCGACCAGTCCCACGGCTCCCCTGCGCACTCCGACTACGGCTCCCACAGAGCCC